ATACAGGGTGGGGCAAAAGTCCCGCTACCATTGCAAAATTGCACGTCTACACAACACAACGGTTAAAGCTAAACTGAGCTATACGTCACATAAAAAAATCAAAATGGTAGCGGGACTTTTGCCCCACCCTATATATCTATGTATAGCAATGTCAAACTAAGCTTTTTATAGAGCCGGCATAAAAAGTAAATAATAATAGTAATAATAAAATAATAATTTATAAAGAAATGAGTTGATATAGCAACGTTTGTAAGCGTTTAACATAAAAGCTAGCAGTAAAACTTAGCTTTGTGTTAAATAAAATTTTAAAACTATATTTTATTAAGTAGATCATATTCAAATATTTTTTGATACTGAGAAAATATGCAGGTGACATTCATGGACAACATTTCATGGCTTTTATCCAATTTATGTCAAAGGAGTCCACCTCTAAGTCTTGAATTGATTAGACCTGTTCTGCCAGTTTTTGATCGTCTGTTAAGTAGTGAAAATAACAACATAATTTGTAAGACATTCGTGATTTATCTGTTCTATCGTTATTTTATGTATTATGTATTTTATCCCTTATGGAAAAATATTATTAGATTTGTGCAAAACTATTTGAATATTGTACAATATTTAGATTAAATGAATAACTTTCTAATTATTTCCAATAGCTTTTCGTGAGTTTAATTTTTCCATAAGGAATTCTAATTTTGAGATATATTTATATTGTTGTTTAATTTAGCCGATACCTGCCGGATACTTTATTATCTTACTAATGGAGTTAACAATAATATACAAGCGATAATGGAAACTGGCATTTTACCAAAAATTTTAAATTGTTTGATATCGAAAATGAAAAGTATCTTAATCCCAGCATGGCTCACCGTAAGAAATATAGCGGTAATGGGTGATAATACTCAGAGGGATGCTATCATCTTAGCGGGAGGATTGTCACGTCTTCGTTCTTTGTATTGGTATTATGGTGATAAGAAAAATATTATTGCAGAGCAAATTATGTGGTTAATTTGTAAAATGGCACGCGATACGGACCAAATCCAAAGTGTAATAGATGCTGGACTGTTATTAACACTGATAAACGAAATTCTATTTGTAAGTATTTAATAAGAAATTGATTATGGAATTAATAACTAGTACATAGCACCAGCAATTTTTTTTTATTATATATTGTGTAATTTTTCATATCGGGTATATGCACGTATTTCATCACCAAATTTAGTTTATTTATATAATTTAGAAGTTACATTCAAGGCCTCTAAGCTATGGACTAAAATTATACATTTAATATCAATATGCTTCTCAAAATTACATACAGAATACACCCTAAAGTGGATCGGAGAAAATGTTTTTACGATACGATAAACATATAGGATTAAAAGGTACCATTTAATGCCCAGATAATAGGTGAACAATTTCAAGTTAATTGGAGAATGGCTTTGACTGAAATTTTTAGCTCGAACTATGAAGATTTAGCTTAATTTATAGAAAAATATGAAAATACATCCGATATATTTGTGTAATTTGTTGGTTTAAATAATATTAGATAATCGTAATTAGATACAAAATTATAATTAGAAAACTATTTGACCATTAAAGTCAATTTTACAATATGATTATCTAAAGGTAACCAAGAAATTCATGAATGAATTTTATTGATGAATCTGTTGGTAATCTTTAATCTCTCTTTAACCATATATTGTGAAAACGGGCTTAACTGAAGAAAGATTCACAATTTCAAATGCACGTATAAATTATGAATAAATTTTATTAATTAGTTTGAACTCGTTTATGATCATAGTCTGTGATTGTTGTAAAATCTTTCTTTGTCTTGTGTCAATTTCTTGTCAATCGAACAAATGTTTCATCTGTTTTTTCCGTTAACTCTATGCGATTTTATGTCATTAACTTTATTTTTATAACATTTTTCTACGATAAAAAGATAGATTTAACAGCAATTAGTTAATATCTATATATATATTATCTATGTTTGCATTTTTTAATTTGAAATTATTTTAGTTGATCAATTGGAATGGATCAGGGAGAAACTCACTATTAGATAGTAGCCATCTCCACACATGAATTGTGTAATTCTTTCTTTCATAAATAGGAATATAAAGACCTTATTTTCAGAACTAACATGTCATTTAAGGTGTTAAGCATTTTGCAATCTCTCAGAACAATGGTACATTAGAACGAAAATGGCTAAAATTGGTGCTTTAATCTGTTCTGTAATTCTTTTAAATTAAGAGTCGGAAAATTTTCTAATTGTTATATCTTTAAATATTATTATTTAATATTAATTGATATCATTTCACAAATAACATAAATATGTCAAATACAACTTTTTCATATTTTCCAAGAATTAAACTAAATATATAAAACTTTAAACTAAAAATTCCGATCAGATCCATCCTCCGAATAAATTAAAATTTTATAATTGTTATTTGCACTTTTTTTGATATATATATTTTCCTTATTGTAAAAGCAATTTTTTTTCGATCCACCTTATATACATCTGTAAAAGTGTCGGCTTTCCTGCAAAACTGATATGCAATTTTCATGACACAGTAAACAGTATGACTAATATAGCGGTGTTGTCACATTTAAACAGATTGTGAATTCAGTATAAACTATACAAGATATCGTGGTATTTTACGGTTCCATATTCTATAACTACCTCCTTTCGACTATGGTTATGCACATAACAAGAAATTAGACTCGTTTTAAATATTGATACAAAGTAATACAAACATTTTGATATAAAATTTCATAGGTCACTATATCTATAAATTTTTTTAGGGAGAAACAAAAGTAATAGCCATATGGGCTGTAACTACTATGATGACGAGAGCAACAGATCAACAGTTTACTCAGTTTATAAATGCTGGTATAGTACCAGCTCTTTGTAATTTACTTCCCTCAAACGATCAAACCAATATTACTGTTTTAACTGGTCTGACTAAAATCTTGCATGCTGCAGAGAAAAGAAAACTACTAAAAAACTTTGTCATTATGATAAAAACAATTGGAGGATTAGATAAAATAGAAACTCTTCAACATCATAAGAATGAGAAAGTTTATAAAAAATCTTTGAACATAATAGATACTTTTTTTTCCAGAAAGGTTTGTACATTGTTATGTTAAATGTTTACTGTTATATGTTTATTTATATAGAAAACAATTTATGTAGGAAAACGTTATTTTTTTCGTTTTTCTAAAAGGTTTTTAATTTTATCTGAATATA